TGGCTGGTTTCTTTATGCCCGTTGTACTCCATAGTGGTTGCTCTGGCTTCGCTATCGGGTGGCAACTTATCTTCAATGCTCGTGTATGTGTAAAATAAATGCTACATAATCAGTACGAGTACGTACAGTAAATATTTTCCACAGCTTACTAACGAGGATAAACATACACCTCAAAGCTTTCGAGCGAACCGTGCAGGAAGATCAGGACGCGTCGCATTGAAACATCGATCATGCAAGGGATTGATGTGTGAGTCTACAGTTAGTCGTGAATTCGCGAATAATAGGGTATCCATATTCTCATTAGTTTTCGCGTGAACTCATGTCACACTAAGATTCTCCAATATTGAGCCTCCACCGCACTGACATCCCGCTTCAAGCATTCATAAAGCTCAGAAACGTTAAAAAATCCGCCAGAAATGGAACCTTTAGGGCGATCGTGTCCTCAGAGATTGAAACCTGGCTGTGGCGATCGATGCTCACGATTGCGGTGTGAGGTCGCGATCCTCATCCGGTGTTGCAATTGTGACGCGTCCTCAGCCCCCCCCTGGTAGGCATTGGAATAGCGCCGCACGAACGGAATAGCGTTTCAGGCTATGGCGCCCCCTTCCCAGCTAGCAGTCACACGAATAAGTTACGACTAACGAGACTATCCAAGTCAGACATTTCAACCCCGCGCACACTTGCTCGCGATCGCTTGCTTTGCAAGCGTTGTTCTACCTTTACTCCACCTATCTCCTCTTCCTCGCCTTTCTTCAGTCCCTTTCCCTGTCGCCATTCCGCCCGTCGCTCGCACGCGTTCGTGCACGGCAGCTCTCATCTGTGATCCACCCCCGTTGGACCATTGAGGCGACTTTTGAGGAGCCTCAAAAGCCATTCCGCCAGCCCCTCGTACGCGTTTATGCCTGGCAGCTCTCATTTGTGATCCACCCTCATTGGATCATCATGGATGCTCAAACCGAGGACGAGGCCGCGACGGACCAGCTAGCAGATCGTGATAGGGCTACCGTTACGGATTTCGCAGCGGCTACTATCGAGGATAAGCTGATTCGCTTATCTCCGTTGGATGCAGTGATGGGTCCGTTTGGGTTCACCATAGTTTACATTTTTCCGCCTCCCGAACCTCCAAAATTCCGCGAATTTCCGCCGTCCGAGCCTCCGAGAGTTACCTACCGAACGTCTGCCCAACAAGTGCCTTTTGCCGAACCTGATACGTTTTCCGACCCAATGTCTGCCGAACCTAGAATGTCTTCCGAGGCACAAGATACTCTCTCCGAGTCAACCGAGTCAACCGAGGAGTTTATGAGTCAACCGTACGATTTGGACCGGCTTTGCTCGTCATTCGTGGATCTAATCGAACAAGATTACCCTATTATGCTGGGCAGATTGCACGTTGATCCTGTAACGGGCGTAACTAGCGTGCTAAAAACGAGGGAGTGCCTCGCTGCCGGCGCGAAAGCAATTAGATTCATTCAAGTTCCAAAATCACTTTCATTCGAGTCCGAACCAGAAACTCCGTTCCCTCCTCTCACAACCACCGAAGCCATGGCTTCCCTGCCAATGTCTTTAATGCCGGAGCGCGATCCGATGGAGTTAATCTCCATCAAGGCTACTATTTTAGCGGATGGCGGGATGGCGATTGGAGTGAATACCAGTCACTGCCTAGTGGACGGAGAGGGTATGTTTACATTCATGAAGATGTGGGGGATGCGGTACAGAGGGGTGAGGAGTGGTACGGAGCAGCAGCAGCATGTGATTTGTCATGATAGGTCGCTGCTGTTTGGGAAGGGACTTGGGTCCAAGCTGCCTCATCCAGAGTTCAGGGTTCTCGAATCTTGTGAAGAATCCGCACAAGCAGCGCCAGCAGCAGCAGCAGCAGCAGCAGCAGCAGCATCGGCAACACCAGCAGCAGAAGCAGCGACACTGAAACCAGCAGCGGAAGAAACAACAGCATCAGAAGACGCAGCACCACAGGCATCAGCAGCAGCGTCAGAAGCAGTACAATCAGCAACACCAACGGTTTCGAAAACAGCAGAAGCACCACCACCAGCAGCAGCAGCAGCAGCAGGAGAAGCAGAAGCACCAGCAGCAGAAGTGCCAACTGCAGCAGCAGCGCCTGTGTTTCCTGCAACCTCACATTCCATCTTCCACCTCTCCCCTAACCAGCTCAAAACACTCAGATCCGTTGCATCTGGGCCGTCGGATTCCATATCAGAACTCCATCTGACGGGTCACGACCCTCAAGGACCCAATTACGTCAGCACTATTGATTCCGTGTCAGCACTCATGCTCCTCCTGATCTCGCAAGCCCGAGGCCATAATAAAGACGTCCGTCTCACCACTGGTGTCAATGGCCGGAGGAGATTAATACCTCCCCTGCCCGAAAATTATTGCGGAAATGTGATTTCCAATGCGTTGTCTTGTTATTCCGCTTCAGAACTTAGGGAGACAACGGCTGCAACACTGAGGCTTATCGCGCGGAGAATCCGGCGATCCATTATAAGCTGCTCCGATACCCACATGCGCGACGCCATAGAATTCCTCACGGAGCAACAAAACATCTCCTCTGTGCGAGTCGGAACGGACTTTTTCTTCGGGGATGACATCATGCTGACGTCATGGGTGAACCATGGCATGTATGATGCGGACTTTGGCGCCAGGCCGTGGTATGTGGGGCCGCCGCGGTTGCCATGCTGCGATGGCATGGTGGTGGTGATGGAAGGGGTTGGCGGAGCAGAGGGGTTGGATGTGCTGCTACTTCTGGAGGCTGCAGCTTCAGAGCGGTTCAAACGGTTGTGGAATGAGGTTCCTTTTTGGTAGTGATACACTGGTCGCAAGAGTCTGGTCGATCGTGTAGCCTTGTATAGTCTGTTGCGGGTTTTGGTGCCCGGCCGTGGTATGTGGGGCCGCCGCAGCTCCCATGCTGCGATGGCATGGTGGTGGTGATGGAAGGGGTTGGGGGAGCAGAGGGGTTGGATGTGCTGTTGCTTATGGAGGCCGCAACAACAGAACGCTTCAAGAAGTTATGGGGTGAGGTTCCGTTTTGGCAGTGATACAGCTCAGGACTGGTATCGTATGAATGATCTCATGTGCTATGTGGGGCCGCCGCAGCTCCCATGCTGCGATGGCATGGTGGTGGTGATGGAAGGGGTTGGGGGAGCAGAGGGGTTGGATGTGCTGCTGCTGCTGGAGTCTGCAGCGTCAGAGCGGTTCAAGAGGTTGTGGAATGATCTTCCGTTTTGGCAGTGATATAGCAATAGTTGGGTGTGTTTAGGCCTGTATAGCATGATGCAGAGATGGTGTGCATCGTTGACGCTACAGCATGGCATAGTGGGGGTTCAAGAGGCTATGGAAGGAGGTGTCATTTGGCCAGTGAGGATGTGGGGTGGGGTTGTTTTGCTCTCTCCACTGTATCCAACCAAAGCAAGGCATCCATTACCGTACCAGATCCCTTGTGCTGCATGCACTTTAGGGTAATTCTCACCACATACCGGTACATTCTCACTTTATGGTAGAATACACCTTGGAGTTTGTCTGTGGATGGTTTTGATAATTTGATTGGATGTCCCGCACAGTGTAAGCCATTGCAAGGAACTCAAGAGTCACGGATGAAACATGAAATCCGAAATGCAGTACTCCGCATTCTGCTGTCATGAGGGCAGGTGATGATGCAGGCAGCAATGCCTTGTTGTATCAAAGCACCTGCAGAAAGTACGTAGGTACCATGTCTCGGTACTATTAGTGCCAAAAGACACAGCCAGCACAGATAGGCACAATAACCTGCATGCATGCATCCCAATTCCATCTTGACAAGCAGTTTGAACCACAAATTACCAAATCGAATCCTCAGTGCAATCCTGCTCTGGAATTAACGGTTTCCAATTTCAAAAATGCCGTTCCTCTTGTCCTCCCACCCCTCGCCTCCCTCCCCCCCCCTCCCCCTCTCCCTTCCCCTCCCTCCCCTCCACACTCCCACCTTGAACCCTGAAGCTGGGGGCGTTACGCAATGGCCAGGCTCCTGCCTATAAAACAGTCGGTCTCCTTCTCCCCGTCTCCAGCACCTTCTATCTCTTCCTGATTCACACCTGCCCACCACTCCCTCCATTCAGCCTCCTGACCACTTTTAAGGCGCCTCTCCTTTCCCAACCCTACGAGCTCGGCACCTTGCAGTTGGCAAGCTCACCATCTCCCCTCTTGGCTTCCTTCCTTGTCCCTACCTAGGCAACAGTCCCACTCCCTCTCCCCGCCACCGGCCACCATCCCTTTGCTTCCCCACCGTCTCCACCATCCCATCCTTCCCCGAGCCTACGAGCTCGGCACCTTGCAGTTAGCCAGCTTCCATCGCGCCATCTCCCTTCCGGACGTCCTATTCCCCAGCTCATAAACGTCCCTTACTCAGATAGCTCAACCAGCATACTCCTTCCCCCTCCCTCTACCCCAACGCCAAGCCTATGAGCTGGGCACCTTGCAGTTAGCCAGCTTCCATCGCGCCTTCTCCCTTCCGGTCGTCCTATTCCCAAGCTCAAAATCGTCCCTTACCCAGATAGCTCAACCAGCATACCCCCTCCTCCTCCCTCTAACTCAGCGCCAAGCCTATGAGCTGGGCACCTTGCAGTTAGCCAGCTTCCATCGCGCCATCTCCCTTCCGGCCGTCCTACCATACCCAAGCTCAAAACCATCCCTTCCCCGAATAACTCAACCAACACACCCCTTCCTCCCTCTGCCCCAACGCCAAGCCTACGAGCTCGGCACCTTGCAATTGGCCAGCTTCCATCGCGCCATCTCCCCACTCGGCTTCGTCCCTCCCCTCCCTCCCCTCCCTCCCCCCCCCCCCAACCCCCCCCGCTCGATCTCCCTCCTACACATCCCAGCCCCACTAGCTGGGCACCTTGCAGTTGGCCAGCTTCCATCGCGCCATCTCCCCTCCCCGCTCGGATTCCTCCCTCCCTCTCCCCCCCACCCCCAACTCCCCCCGCTCAATCCCCCTCCTACACATCCCAAGCCTACGAGCTGGGCACCTTGCAGTTGGCCAGCTTCCATCGCGCCATCTCCCCACTCGGCTTCCTCCTGAAATCCGCTGCAATGCCGTTCCCATCGATATCCACCAGCCCAGGAGTCACATACTTGCCCACCGTCACCACCATACCTGAACCATCATTTAATTCATACACGGATTGGATCAGCCCCTTTCCGAACGTTCTCGACCCCACCAAAACCGCTCGGCAGTTGTCGTGCAACGCGCCGGCGACAATCTCGCTAGCACTGGCCGTTCGACCGTTTACCAGGACCGTCAAAGGGGCTCGCGTGAGCGGTTTCCCTGTCGCTTCGATGCTTCTTTTCTGGGGTAAATCACCCGGGCGGGCCTCGGTGTAGACCACCGTTTGCCCTCTCTCGAGGAAAAGTTTTGCGATTTCCACCCCGGATTGCACGAGGCCCCCTGGGTTGTCCTGTAGGTCCAGGACAAAAGATGTCGCACCGGCCGCTTCTAGCCGTTGGATCGCGGTTACCACATCACGCTTCGCCGCTGCGTTGAATTCCTTAAGCCGAATGTAACCCACAGGGCCGGTTGGGGCAGAGGAGGAGGAAAACACCGAAGAGAACATAGAGGAGGATGTGGAAGAGGAGGGAGAGGGGGAGGAGGAGGAGGAAGCAGCAGTAGAGAAGTCCTGGAACAGACCCAGAGGAGAAATGGAGTCGTTTCGATCGAGTCGGTACTGCACTGGCGACTGCACTTCGCTAGTGCGCGACATAGTGAGGGACTCTATAGGGGAGCACGAGTCGTGGCGGATGGCGATGGTGACAGGGGTGCCCTTGGGGCCTTGGATCAGTGAAGATACGTCGAATGCGGATATCCCTTGCACGCTCGTGCCATCAACCGAAACGAGCTCGTCGCCTTGCTGCACGCCTGTGTGTGTGGAAGTGGAGAGGGAGGGGGGGGGGGGAAGGGGGGAGAGGGAAATTGAGGGGTGAAGATACGTCGAATGCGGACATGCCTTGCACGCTCGCGCTGTTTACTGAATCGAGCTCGTCCCCTTGCCGCACACCTGGATGAGATGAGGGGTGGGAGGGGGTGATTGAGGGGAGGGGAGGAGAGGATGGGATAAGCAAAGATACGTCGAATGCGGACATGCCCTGCACACTCGTGCCATCCACTGAAACGAGCTCGTCCCCTTGCCGCACGCCTGTTTGGTCGAAGAGGGAGATGGGACGGGAAACGAGAATAGCGGACAGAGAGAGAAGGGGAGGTGGTCGAGGGCGTGGAGAGAAGAGCGTAACAAGGGGCATGAGGGATGGAGGATACGACGCAAGGACGAAAATAAGCTCAACATCTGCCACGCTACTTGCTAGATCAGCACATTTGCCAGCTCAGCAGCCACGTGTCACTGGCACTCACCTGCTAACTGTGCTGGCGAGCCGAGAACGATCCCCACCACCTTCAGCTTCACCCGCCCATCCTCCACGTCCTCGCCAATGTTCAGCCCGATTCCAGTAACGTCGTACTTAGCTAACGCCGCGAATTGCTTAGGCGAGACGAACCGGGAATACGGATCGTTTAAGCTCGCCAGCATGCTGCTGATCATAGCGTAAGCTTCCCCTCTACTTTTGGGGGGTTTTCGAAGAATAGCCTCTTTTTTTGCTGCCCAGGCCTCGGGTGTCCACCCCTTGTTCCGGGCATCGAAAAATGTTTCGTTGACCACTTCCCAGGCCTCCAGGACCACTGATTGGTCCGTAATTTCTGCTTCCGGGGTGAAACGTTCGCCTGTGAAATTGGTGGTGGACGGCGGAGGGCAGAAGAGAGAGGAAGCGGAGGGAGTTGGGGAAAGGAGGGGAGGAGAAGCATTACTTCCGGTGCTGATGCTGCCGCTGCTGCTGATGTCAGTGCTGCTGCTGCTGCTCAAAATTTTGTCAGTGGAGTCAGTGCTGCTGCTAGTGGTGGTGCTGGTGGTGATGCTGGTTGTGGTGGTAGAAGGTTCGGCGAAGGTCGAAGTCGACTCTAACGGCGGGGCCGCCAGCAACCCCACATGAAAATTTCTCCCCCCATAGATATCAGGTATCTGAGCAGGGACGTTTGCGGCAAGGGTATCTGAGCTTGCGAGCTCCTGTATCCGGCGATCTTTCAGACGATAATCTGCTGCGGATGTCGTGTTTGCGTATATCGGCGACAGGTCATTGGCAGGGGAGGCGAAGGCTGGAAGAGAGGAGCTGAGAAGAGCGAGAAGAATGCAGGGGACGGAGAGCGAGGGCCACAGACGGGGAGATGCCGTATCCACGTTATTGAGTGCTTCGAGAGAAGCGCGTAAACAGGCCCACAGGCGTGATGACAAAGGTTCGACGTTGGATTGGAAGGCATCAAAACGCGATTGAAACGGTGTCTGAGGCTCCAACGATATATTATCCCTAGCAATGAGCTTAAGCGAACGAGCTGTTGGAAGCGTCAATCGTGAAGAGTCCGGAGCGTGCGGTAAATCGGGACTGTCCGATTGAAGTCGGTGATAATTATGACACGTGGCTGAGCATTGCCGACGTAAGAATCCGGGAACCGCGACTACGGCACGTCTAGCGACATTTCTCGATGTGACTACAGTGAATGTGACAGCGCCGGGTGGCAGGGTGTTGCGAGAGATAAGCTGCGACGTCATCGAATGACCACGGAAATATGAGAGGACACCAAGCAAGGTGAGGTTTTTAAATGGGTTTCTTGGAAGATTCCCAAACAAATGAGAAGTTCAGAAGGATTCCGAGAGAATTATACTGGTGCAGGAACTCGGCGAATGAGTTCTTAACGCATAACGTAATGTTAGACCTATCAATACAAGCCTAAGAAATTCCTGGTCCCCTTCAACTCCGCGCTGCGTTCAGTGTCAAGGCGTCTCAGTGCAGCGTGTAGGCGAGCTTGGATGCTGCCTGCTGTCAGTAGCTCAAGCGGACTACCAGAGCAAGCAACGTGCAGTTTGATTAGGAACCAGTATGATAATCTCCAGGCGGTTTGATCAGGAGATGAACTGGTTCCGACGATTGTAGGACATGGTCTGGTTGTTGGTCGATAGTTGGATAAGGGTGTGCTTGGGAGATCCATTAGTGCGGTTCGGTGGGTTTCTCCATGTTTTTGAGACGGTCATATGAAGTCCTAAATCGGTTGGGTATGGTATTCAGGAAGATCCACCATTGCGACGGACACGCCAATTGGCTTGGTTGTCACAGCAGCCGCAATCTTTCAGAATTCTGGTGGTTGAAGCATTTGCGGCACTCAAGGTCAGCACTGCATCCACGTGGCACGCCAACTTGCCCCCAGAAATCTTCGAGTAGGAGTGACACGACATCAAAGCTTCGGTGTAGCTGGTAAACTGTTATAATAAGGGGTTGTAACACCATTTAGCTATTTTACCATTTTAGAGTTGATCCAGCTTGTTGTGATCACAAAAGGTTTTTGACTATTGTAAGGTGATGGCGAATAAACCTGTGCTGCTACAATCCTTAAAGGGGCTTATGTACCTATGTGCATCTGCACATCTGCGAGGCATTTCACTGTGCATATATGAGACGCATCTCCTAATGCCCTTAACACCAAACCTGCGTACTGGTATACCAACGCAGGAGGAGAGGACTCTGTACACGAGTTACCACCTGTACAGTACTGCAAGAGACTGCGTATATGCAAGGCACTTTTAAGCACTAACTGGCCATTGGAATGTTTGCACCTCATCATACAGACATCAACACAGCGAGAGAGGACTATCATGCCTGTACAACTACATATACACCAAGCATACATGCGCTTTCCAGCACTAACCGGCCATTAGAATGTTTGCACCTCATAAAGAAGTCAACACAGCAGGGGAGGAGTCAGTATATACATGAGCTATCATTGCTGTACAACTGTATACGGAGCGTACAGTGAGCGTATACAACAAGATACAACTGTACCGAGCACTAAGCCGCCATTGCAATCTTTGTACGTTTATCATCATACAGATGTCAACGCAGCAAGGCCTTTGTGCAGATGTCACAGCAGGTGTCGTGGCAGATGTCAAATCAAAACAGACGTCACCACACATACCTATGTCACGCCAAATGTGACAGATGTCACTGGAGTGAGAGCTTAGCAAGTGTGAGGTCGAGCACACGCACACCTTAGGCTATTGGCCTTAGCGGGAAGAGACTAGAAGGGTGTCACGGCTGACAGATGTCACGGCAGGAGTCAGAGCAGCGAGAGCTTGGCGAGTGTGAGGGCGAGCACATGCACTCCGTTGGCGAGGTTGGCCTTTGATGTGAACTCATCAGGGCGGTGACTCACTCCTGAAAGAAGCGCAGGGTAAAAGAAGGGAATAGAAAGAAGCAAGGGAAGAGGGCAAGGGAGTAACGGCTTGGCGAGTGTGAGGGCGAGCACACACACTGTTGGCGAGGTTGGCCTTTGATGTGAACTCATCAGGGCGGTGACTCACTCCTGAAAGAAGCGCAGGGTAAAAGAAGGGAATAGAAAGAAGCAAGGGAAGAGGGCAAGGGAGTAACGGCTTGGCGAGTGTGAGGGCGAGCACACACACTGTTGGCGAGGTTGGCCCTTGATGTGAACTCATCAGGGCGGTGACTCACTCCTGAAAGAAGCGCAGGGTAAAAGAAGGGAATAGAAAGAAGCAAGGGAAGAGGGCAAGGGAGTAACGGCTTGGCGAGTGTGAGGGCGAGCACACACACTGTTGGCGAGGTTGGCCTTTGATGTGAACTCATCAGGGCGGTGACTCACTCCTGAAAGAAGCGCAGGGTAAAAGAAGGGAATAGAAAGAAGCAAGGGAAGAGGGCAAGGGAGTAACGGCTTGGCGAGTGTGAGGGCGAGCACACACACTGTTGGCGAGGTTGGCCTTTGATGTGAACTCATCAGGGCGGTGACTCACTCCTGAAAGAAGCGCAGGGTAAAAGAAGGGAATAGAAAGAAGCAAGGGAAGAGGGCAAGGGAGTAACGGCTTGGCGAGTGTGAGGGCGAGCACACACACTGTTGGCGAGGTTGGCCTTTGATGTGAACTCATCAGGGCGGTGACTCACTCCTGAAAGAAGCGCAGGGTAAAAGAAGGGAATAGAAAGAAGCAAGGGAAGAGGGCAAGGGAGTAACGGCTTGGCGAGTGTGAGGGCGAGCACACACACTGTTGGCGAGGTTGGCCTTTGATGTGAACTCATCAGGGCGGTGGCTCACTCCTGAAAGAAGCGCAGGGTAAAAGAAGGGAATAGAAAGAAGCAAGGGAAGAGGGCAAGGGAGTAACGGCTTGGCGAGTGTGAGGGCGAGCACACACACTGTTGGCGAGGTTGGCCTTTGATGTGAACTCATCAGGGCGGTGGCTCACTCCAGCGGGGGGAAGGGAGAGGCAGCAAGTAAGGGGAGGGAAAACTGAGAGGAACAGAACAGTAAGCTCGTACGGTTATTATCGCTATCATCATTATTGCGGTTATTAATAGTAACATTATTATTATTGAGCAAGGGTGAGGAAGAGGAGAGTGAACGACTTTTGAGACGTCTCGAAAGTGAACGAGGAACAAACCAAGCCGGGCTCACCTCCTCGGCAGGGAATGAATATCATGCCTGTTGGCGCCACCCTGGTTAGAATGAACAGAAGAAAGAGGAGGGAGGGGGATGGGAAGTGCCGGAAGAAGGGAGCATTTTGCGACAAAAAGGAGAAAATGATGCATAGGGGATAGGGATAGTAGCCCATGAACAGTAACGAGTGAACAGTAGCTCATGAACAGAATTCCATGAGCACAAGCCAATGTTGGCAATGTGTGAACAGGAACGCACCTCGCCATGAACAGTGCATCGTGATACGCCCGGCTGACCATGCGCCGGTGGCTCAGACCCAGCTCCTGCACTGAAGACAAAACAGCTGACGTCACCATGCTGCTGCACTGGGCGGGCGGGTCGGCATTGACCAGCTCCATTCTGGGCGGCCGGGGAGGGGAGGGGGGGGGGGTGTGGAGGGGGAAGAGAAGCACAAGATGGGAGAGAACGAGGCGGGCATGAGAAGAGAAGAAGGGGCGGAGAAGCTCCCTAGAATCCTCAAACAAGGCAGATGTGGAAGTCAAAGGAATGTGAACGAGGGGGGAGAAGTGGGAATATGGGGAGAGGAAGGAATGAAAAGATCAGGGAATACGGGGGACGAGGGAATACAGTGAGGAGGGAGCCTCGATACAGGGAATACGGTGAGGAGGGAGCCTCGATACAGGGAATACAGGGCAGGAGGAGTAATGACTCCTTTGATTTTTCAGTCGATTCAAAAGTCACCTGGGAATACAGGGCAGGAGGAGTGATGACTCCTGGGATTTTTGAGGCGCCTCAAACAGCGATGACTCCTGTCAGGAGTGATGATTCACTTTCCGCCTGCCAGCAAAGCTCCTGGCAGACTGCAAGACTTCTGACACCACTTGAGCCCTCCTTCACAGCATCAACAATGACTTTCTCTCCCCCTCCTCACCTCTCCAGCGCAACCCTCCATCTGCCAGCAATGCTCTTGGCAGCACGGATGGCCTTTGACACCATTACAGCCCTCCTTCACAGCACCACCAGCCATGACTTTCTCTCCCCTCCCTCACCTCTCCACCTTCAGTTTCCGCAGGGCAGCAATGCTCCAGGCAACCACCATGGCTCTTCACCCTCTCACTCACTCTCACTCACCTATTTCCCCCTTACTCTCACTCTCATAAAAAATGCCTTACTCTCCCCCTCCTCACCTCTCCACCTTCGGTTTCCGGTTGGCAGCAATGCTCCAGGCAACCACCATGGCTCTTCACCCTCTCACTCATATTCTCCCCCTCCCCTGTCCTCACCTCTCCACCTTCACTTTCCGCCTGCCAGCAATGCTCCGAGCAGCGTCCATAACTTTTGACACCACGCCATCCCGCCTCGCCTCGTCAATATCTCGAATATCTGCAGCAGAAGGAGCAGGAGCAGCAGCAGCAACAGCAAGAGATGTGGCATATGTCTGACTGCCCACACCACGCCATCCCGCCTCACCTCGTCTATATTTCGAATATCTGCAGCAGAAGGAGAGGGAGCAAGCGACGGGGCACATGAGAGGGACCGAGTGGTGGGGAAGAGTAGTATTAAAGCATTCACGCCCACACCACGCCATCCCGCCTCGCCTCGTCTATATCTCGAATATCTGCAGCAGAAGGAGAGGGAGCAAGCGACGGGGCACATGAGAGGGACCGAGTGGTGGGGAAGAGTAGTATTAAAGCATTCACGCCCACACCACGCCATCCCGCCTCGCGTCGTCTATATCTCGAATATCTGCAGCAGAAGGAGAGGGAGCAAGCGACGGGGCACATGAGAGGGACCGAGTGGTGGGGAAGAGTAGTATTAAAGCATTCACGCCCACACCACGCCATCCCGCCTCGCCTCGCCTATATCTCGAATATCTGCAGCAGAAGGAGAGGGAGCAAGCGACGGGGCACATGAGAGGGACCGAGTGGTGGGGAAGAGTAGTATTAAAGCATTCACGCCCACACCACGCCATCCCGCCTCGCCTCGCCTATATCTCGAATATCTGCAGCAGAAGGAGAGGGAGCAAGCGACGGGGCACATGAGAGGGACCGAGTGGTGGGGAAGAGTAGTATTAAAGCATTCACGCCCACACCACGCCATCCCGCCTCGCCTCGTCTATATCTCGAATATCTGCAGCAGAAGGAGCAGGAGCAGCAGCAGCAACAGCAAGAGATGTGGCATATGTCTGACTGCCCACACCACGCCATCCCGCCTCACCTCGTCTATATTTCGAATATCTGCAGCAGAAGGAGAGGGAGCAAGCGACGGGGCACATGAGAGGGACCGAGTGGTGGGGAAGAGTAGTATTAAAGCATTCACGCCCACACCACGCCATCCCGCCTCGCCTCGCCTATATCTCGAATATCTGCAGCAGAAGGAGAGGGAGCAAGCGACGGGGCACATGAGAGGGACCGAGTGGTGGGGAAGAGTAGTATTAAAGCATTCACGCCCACACCACGCCATCCCGCCTCGCCTCGCCTATATCTCGAATATCTGCAGCAGAAGGAGAGGGAGCAAGCGACGGGGCACATGAGAGGGACCGAGTGGTGGGGAAGAGTAGTATTAAAGCATTCACGCCCACACCACGCCATCCCGCCTCGCCTCGTCTATATCTCGAATATCTGCAGCAGAAGGAGCAGGAGCAGCAGCAGCAACAGCAAGAGATGTGGCATATGTCTGACTGCCCACACCACGCCATCCCGCCTCACCTCGTCTATATTTCGAATATCTGCAGCAGAAGGAGAGGGAGCAAGCGACGGGGCACATGAGAGGGACCGAGTGGTGGGGAAGAGTAGTATTAAAGCATTCACGCCCACACCACGCCATCCCGCCTCGCCTCGCCTATATCTCGAATATCTGCAGCAGAAGGAGAGGGAGCAAGCGACGGGGCACATGAGAGGGACCGAGTGGTGGGGAAGAGTAGTATTAAAGCATTCACGCCCACACCACGCCATCCCGCCTCGCCTCGCCTATATCTCGAATATCTGCAGCAGAAGGAGAGGGAGCAAGCGACGGGGCACATGAGAGGGACCGAGTGGTGGGGAAGAGTAGTATTAAAGCATTCACGCCCACACCACGCCATCCCGCCTCGCCTCGTCTATATCTCGAATATCTGCAGCAGAAGGAGCAGGAGCAGCAGCAGCAACAGCAAGAGATGTGGCATATGTCTGACTGCCCACACCACGCCATCCCGCCTCACCTCGTCTATATTTCGAATATCTGCAGCAGAAGGAGAGGGAGCAAGCGACGGGGCACATGAGAGGGACCGAGTGGTGGGGAAGAGTAGTATTAAAGCATTCACGCCCACACCACGCCATCCCGCCTCGCCTCGTCTATATCTCGAATATCTGCAGCAGAAGGAGAGGGAGCAAGCGACGGGGCACATGAGAGGGACCGAGTGGTGGGGAAGAGTAGTATTAAAGCATTCACGCCCACACCACGCCATCCCGCCTCGCCTCGTCTATATCTCGAATATCTGCAGCAGAAGGAGAGGGAGCAAGCGACGGGGCACATGAGAGGGACCGAGTGGTGGGGAAGAGTAGTATTAAAGCATTCACGCCCACACCACGCCATCCCGCCTCGCCTCGTCTATATCTCGAATATCTGCAGCAGAAGGAGAGGGAGCAAGCGACGGGGCACATGAGAGGGACCGAGTGGTGGGGAAGAGTAGTATTAAAGCATTCACGCCCACACCACGCCATCCCGCCTCGCCTCGTCTATATCTCGAATATCTGCAGCAGAAGGAGAGGGAGCAAGCGACGGGGCACATGAGAGGGACCGAGTGGTGGGGAAGAGTAGTATTAAAGCATTCACGCCCACACCACGCCATCCCGCCTCGCCTCGTCTATATCTCGAATATCTGCAGCAGAAGGAGAGGGAGCAAGCGACGGGGCACATGAGAGGGACCGAGTGGTGGGGAAGAGTAGTATTAAAGCATTCACGCCCACACCACGCCATCCCGCCTCGCCTCGCCTATATCTCGAATATCTGCAGCAGAAGGAGAGGGAGCAAGCGACGGGGCACATGAGAGGGACCGAGTGGTGGGGAAGAGTAGTATTAAAGCATTCACGCCCACACCACGCCATCCCGCCTCGCCTCGCCTATATCTCGAATATCTGCAGCAGAAGGAGAGGGAGCAAGCGACGGGGCACATGAGAGGGACCGAGTGGTGGGGAAGAGTAGTATTAAAGCATTCACGCCCACACCACGCCATCCCGCCTCGCCTCGTCTATATCTCGAATATCTGCAGCAGAAGGAGCAGGAGCAGCAGCAGCAACAGCAAGAGATGTGGCATATGTCTGACTGCCCACACCACGCCATCCCGCCTCACCTCGTCTATATTTCGAATATCTGCAGCAGAAGGAGAGGGAGCAAGCGACGGGGCACATGAGAGGGACCGAGTGGTGGGGAAGAGTAGTATTAAAGCATTCACGCCCACACCACGCCATCCCGCCTCGCCTCGTCTATATCTCGAATATCTGCAGCAGAAGGAGAGGGAGCAAGCGACGGGGCACATGAGAGGGACCGAGTGGTGGGGAAGAGTAGTATTAAAGCATTCACGCCCACACCACGCCATCCCGCCTCGCCTCGTCTATATCTCGAATATCTGCAGCAGAAGGAGAGGGAGCAAGCGACGGGGCACATGAGAGGGACCGAGTGGTGGGGAAGAGTAGTATTAAAGCATTCACGCCCACACCACGCCATCCCGCCTCGCCTCGTCTATATCTCGAATATCTGCAGCAGAAGGAGAGGGAGCAAGCGACGGGGCACATGAGAGGGACCGAGTGGTGGGGAAGAGTAGTATTAAAGCATTCACGCCCACACCACGCCATCCCGCCTCGCCTCGCCTATATCTCGAATATCTGCAGCAGAAGGAGAGGGAGCAAGCGACGGGGCACATGAGAGGGACCGAGTGGTGGGGAAGAGTAGTATTAAAGCATTCACGCCCACACCACGCCATCCCGCCTCGCCTCGCCTATATCTCGAATATCTGCAGCAGAAGGAGAGGGAGCAAGCGACGGGGCACATGAGAGGGACCGAGTGGTGGGGAAGAGTAGTATTAAAGCATTCACGCCCACACCACGCCATCCCGCCTCGCCTCGTCTATATCTCGAATATCTGCAGCAGAAGGAGCAGGAGCAGCAGCAGCAACAGCAAGAGATGTGGCATATGTCTGACTGCCCACACCACGCCATCCCGCCTCACCTCGTCTATATTTCGAATATCTGCAGCAGAAGGAGAGGGAGCAAGCGACGGGGCACATGAGAGGGACCGAGTGGTGGGGAAGAGTAGTATTAAAGCATTCACGCCCACACCACGCCATCCCGCCTCGCCTCGTCTATATCTCGAATATCTGCAGCAGAAGGAGAGGGAGCAAGCGACGGGGCACATGAGAGGGACCGAGTGGTGGGGAAGAGTAGTATTAAAGCATTCACGCCCACACCACGCCATCCCGCCTCGCCTCGTCTATATCTCGAATATCTGCAGCAGAAGGAGAGGGAGCAAGCGACGGGGCACATGAGAGGGACCGAGTGGTGGGGAAGAGTAGTATTAAAGCATTCACGCCCACACCACGCCATCCCGCCTCGCCTCGTCTATATCTCGAATATCTGCAGCAGAAGGAGAGGGAGCAAGCGACGGGGCACATGAGAGGGACCGAGTGGTGGGGAAGAGTAGTATTAAAGCATTCACGCCCACACCACGCCATCCCGCCTCGCCTCGTCTATATCTCGAATATCTGCAGCAGAAGGAGAGGGAGCAAGCGACGGGGCACATGAGAGGGACCGAGTGGTGGGGAAGAGTAGTATTAAAGCATTCACGCCCACACCACGCCATCCCGCCTCGCCTCGTCTATATCTCGAATATCTGCAGCAGAAGGAGAGGGAGCAAGCGACGGGGCACATGAGAGGGACCGAGTGGTGGGGAAGAGTAGTATTAAAGCATTCACGCCCACACCACGCCATCCCGCCTCGCCTCGTCTATATCTCGAATATCTGCAGCAGAAGGAGAGGGAGCAAGCGACGGGGCACATGAGAGGGACCGAGTGGTGGGGAAGAGTAGTATTAAAGCATTCACGCCCACACCACGCCATCCTGCCTCGCCTCGTCTATATCTCGAATATCTGCAGCAGAAGGAGAGGGAGCAAGCGACGGGGCACATGAGAGGGACCGAGTGGTGGGGAAGAGTAGTATTAAAGCATTCACGCCCACACCACGCCATCCCGCCTCGCGTCGTCTATATCTCGAATATCTGCAGCAGAAGGAGAGGGAGCAAGCGACGGGGCACATGAGAGGGACCGAGTGGTGGGGAAGAGTAGTATTAAAGCATTCACGCCCACACCACGCCATCCCGCCTCGCCTCGTCTATATCTCGAATATCTGCAGCAGAAGGAGAGGGAGCAAGCGACGGGGCACATGAGAGGGACCGAGTGGTGGGGAAGAGTAGTATTAAAGCATTCACGCCCACACCACGCCATCCCGCCTCGCGTCGTCTATATCTCGAATATCTGCAGCAGAAGGAGAGGGAGCAAGCGACGGGGCACATGAGAGGGACCGAGTGGTGGGGAAGAGTAGTATTAAAGCATTCACGCCCACACCACGCCATCCCGCCTCGCCTCGTCTATATCTCGAATATCTGCAGCAGAAGGAGAGGGAGCAAGCGACGGGGCACATGAGAGGGACCGAGTGGTGGGGAAGAGTAGTATTAAAGCATTCACGCCCACACCACGCCATCCCGCCTCGCCTCGTCTATATCTCGAATATCTGCAGCAGAAGGAGCAGGAGCAAGCGACGGGGCACATGGGAGGGACCGAGTGGAAAGAGTAGTATTAAAGCATTCACGCCCACACCACGCCATCCCGCCTCGCGTCGTCTATATCTCGAATATCTGCAGCAGTGGCAACGGCAACAGCAACAGCAGCAGCAGGAGATGGGGCATATGGGAGGAGGGTGCTCTAATGACTGCAAACACCACGCCATCCCTCCTTGCCTCGTCTGAATTAGATATACACATACGTGTTTCACTTATTTACACTTACCAACTCCTCACCACAGAATCCTGAGAAAATCCAGTCATCCCTTTCCACCACTCACCACCCCTTTCAACCACTCACCAATCTCCAAGTGTGCATGGCGAGGCACGCTGTTCACTGCGTTGGGCTGAAGAATGAGGTGCCCTGAAAGAGGGGAATGGAATGGCACGGCATGGCATGGCATGGCGTGGCATGGCATGGCATGGCATGGCATGGCATGGCATGGCGTGGCATGGCATGCAGCAGGAGGGGGTGTGAGGGCAAGGGGAGAAATATTTTACGGAGGCACACTGTTCACTGCGTTTGGGCTGAAGCATGAGGTGCCCTGAAAGAGGGGAATGGAATGGCACGACACGGAATGGCATGGAGTGGCATGGCATGGCATGGCGTGGCATGGCATGGCGTGGCATGGCATGGCATGCAGCAGGAGGGGTTGCGAGGACAAGGGAAAAAGATTTAATGGAGGCACAATGTTCACTGCGTTGGGCTGAAGCATGAGGTGCCCTGAAAGAGGGGAATGGAATGGCACGGCACGGAATGGCATGGAGTGGCATGGCATGGCATGCAGCAGGGGGGTGTGAGGACAAGGGAAAAATATTTAACGGAGGCGCACTGTTCACTGCGTTGGGCTGAAGCATGAGGTGTCCTGGTGAGGGGATGCAACAGCACGGAGTGGCATGGCATGGAGTTGCACGGCATGGCATGCAGCAAGGGGGTGTGAGGACAAGGGAAATTTTTTTAACGGAGGCACACTGTTCACTGCGCTGGGCTGAAGCATGAGGTGCCTGTTATGGGATGGAATGGCATGGCACGGAATGGCATGGCATGGAGTGGTTGGGCATGGTGTGCAGCAGGAGGGGGTGTGAGGACAAGGGAAAAGGGTTTACAACAGAGGCACGCTATTTACTGCGTTGGGCTGAAGCATGAGGTGACCTGTGATGGGATGGAACAGTGAGGAGGGCGAGGAGGAGGAGCAGAGCAGGAGAAGGGAAAAGGGTAATCAAGAGGGGGTGAGAGGGCGCTTCTCACTGTGTTGGGCTGACGAATGAGGTGCCTTGAAAGGAGGGATGGAATGGAGTGGAGCAGGATGGTGGAGCGAGAATGGTGGGCAAAGGGGTAATTAAGAAGGAAGTGAAGAATGAAGAGGGAAGTGAGGGGGGCGGTATTGGGCTGAAGAATGAGTGAAAACGAGGTGCCCTGAAAAGGGGGGTGGATAGGATTGTGAAATGGAATGGCATGGACCTAACCGCTTTTCACATATGAGGAATAGGGGAGAAGGGGAATAGAAATACATGCCTAGTTTGCCAGCGCAAGAAATGATTGCTCAGCAGCACCATACCTGCAGTATAATTGTGGTTGTTGGGGTATACATGCGGTATACATCGCTATACCTGGGATATACCTGTGGTCCCCACTGTGTCTTCTGCCCTGGTCGCCAGCACAGCTGCCTTGACAGCCAATCAGAGTTCAGCAGCTGCTGGTCCCGCATCGTTCCTGGGATATATCTGTGAATTCTGGGGTATATCTGTGGTATTCCTACTGTTTTCTGGGGTATACCTGTGGTTCCCACTGTGTCATCTGATTTTGTCGCCAGCACAGCAGCCTCAACAGCCAATGAGAGCTCAGCAGCTGCCAGCCCCGCATCGTTCCTGGGGTGGCAATGGCAAGTCACGGGTCACAGGGAGGAGGGAGGGAGTGTGGAGAGGGGAAGGTGGATGGGGTGGGGGAATGAAGGAGAGGGGAAGAGGGAAGTGCGGATGGGATGGAGTAAAGAGGTTAGCAGCTGCCAATCCCGAACTGTTTTTGGGAAAGCAATTTCTGGACCAAGGTGGAGGGAAGGGGGGGGACATGGAGACGGAAAGGGGGATGAGGGGAATGAGAGGGAGGGGAGGAACATGGGGAGCGCGGAGGCGGGTTGAAGAGGTCAGGTCAGCAGCTGCTGATCCTGCATTGTTCCTGGGATAGCAAGGTGGACAAGGGGGGGGATTTGGACTTTTGAGTCGACTCAAAGGGGATTTGGAGACGGGAAGGGGGATGAGGGGAATGAGAGGGAGGTCAGCAGCTGCCAATCCTGCATTGTTCCTGGGATAGCAGTTTCCAGCAAGGGAGGTTGGGCGGGGGGTTGGTGGGCAATCGAAATTTCTCAGTAGTGACAGGTGCAATGAGTCGACTCAAGACAGTGAAACGCACCCGCTTGATTTGAAATGCTCATTGCATTGCATTGCTCTCTCACTAATGAACATTTCGAAGTAGACTATCTCAGCACACCTCAAGACACCTCAGCACACCTCAAGACACCTCAGCACACCTCAAGACACCTCAGCACACCTCAAGACACCTCAGCACACCTCAAGACACCTCAGCACACCTCAAGGCATCTCAGCACACCTCATCACATCTCATCACGCCTCAAGACACCTCATCACACCTCAAGACACCTCATCACACCTCATCACACCTCATCACACCTCATCACACCTCAGCACACCTCAGCACAACTGTGCTTCATGAGCAGGGCGCCAGCATGGCCCTCAACACGCCTTGGCACACCTCAACACCCCAATACACCCGAGAACCCCGCAGCAAACCTCAACACACCTCCACACACCTGTGCTTCATGAGCAGAGCACCAGCATGGCCCCCTCCTCCACTGAAATCCACCATCAGCGTTACTGGTGCTGCAATCGCTGTCACTATGCTGATACCCTGTCCTGCTCACATCTCAGCACACCTCAGCTCACCTCAGCTCACCTCAGCTCAGCACACCTCACCTCAGCACACCTCAGCAAACCTCCACACACCTGTGCTTCATGAGCAGAGCACCAGCATGGCCCCCTCCTCCACTGAAATCCACCATCAGCGATGCTGCTCTGCTACCGCTGTCACCAATTACATGCTATTCTATCGAGTTTACAACGATGTGAAAACACCTGTGCTTCATGAGCAGAGCACCAGCATGGCCCCCTCCTCCACTGAAATCCACCATTGGGATTGTGAGCAAGGCTCAACACACCTAAGCACACCTCAACACACCTCAACACTCCTCAGCACACCTGTGCTTCATGAGCAGAGCACCAGCATGGCCCCCTCCTCCACTGAAATCGACCATTAGCGTTGCTGGTGCTGCAATCGCTGTCACTATGCCAATATCCAGCCCTGCACGCATGAATCACGAATATATGAATGTATCATCATGTAGGTATGGATACGTGTATGGATAGAAAGTCAGAAAGTGATTATCATTGTTGCTGGTGCTGCGACCGCTGTCAATATGCCAATATCCAGCCCTGCGCACATGAATCACGAATACATGTACAAGTGACTGTGATGTATATGACTGTAATGTACATGCGCACGACCTACATGTGTATGTATGATAATACAAGATGCATGTGATTATGGACGGTCATCGATCAACAATGTCTCGCTAAGCTTGCTACCGCTATCCCTATATTGTTATCCTTACCGGCAGATATGTTAGAAAATGTGTACATGCATGGGCATTATACATACCTGTACAGGTACACTAAATATATAATACCTTGCTCTTCCAGTAGCGGCCCTTGTTCAATATGAAGCTCCACAAAAGCGCCCACTTGTTCCTGGTGTTGTAACTTACTTACCACTGCCATAATGTCAGTAACCATGCTCAATATGAAGTTACCATACTGGAAGAACAATGGTCATAATGCCCGTAACCATACCTTGTTCTTCCAGTAGCGGCCCTTGTTCGATATGAAGCTCCACAAAAGCTCCCACTTTTTCCCGACCCAAAGCCACGGCTGCCACCGAACCAGCGTTCCGAGCCTCTTCGTACCCAGCTTCGGCAGCAGCCTCGGCGAACGGCCGGCCGTCTTTGTCCTGTAGTGCCAGCAGGCGATTGAGATAGCCAGTCTGGTTGGCCAACATGCGACTGGGGGGAGTGAACAGTGACCAGTGGAACAGTGAACAGTAGCGAAATAGTGAGATAGAGAAATAGCGAAATAGTGAACATGAGAACTTCAATGGAGCGATGGGGGGAGAACCCTCACTAGCACGCTCCGTACCCGCCCCTTCTTATTGCACAACACCTCACCTGCCCAGGCAGCCGTACCGCACAACACTCCCCCACCTTTTCAACCCACCTGCCTAAACAGCCTATCCCCAAGCGGGTGGGCTCTTCAGAAGTAAACATGAGCACTTCAATGGGGCGATGGGGGGAGACGCCCTACACTCCATCCCGCCCCACTCCCCCTTACCGCACAACACCCCACTCAACCCAGCAAGCAGCACAGGCACAACCCACCGCCTTTCCTACCAACACCCAACCCCTCCGTACCGCACCACACCCCAACACCCCACCTGCCCAGGCAGCCTATGCCAAAGCGCGTCGACTCTTCAGAGGTGAACATGAGCACTTCAATTGGTCTGTGGCGAGGGAATCCGGCCCTACACACCAACACCCAACCCCTCCGTACCGCACCACACCCCAACACCCCACCTGCCCAGGCAGCCTATGCCAAAGCGCGTCGACTCTTCAGAGGTGAACATGAGCACTTCAATTGGTCTGTGGCGAGGGAATCCGGCCCTACACACCAACACCCAACCCCTCCGTACCGCACCACACCCCAACACCCCACCTGCCCAGGCAGCCTATGCCAAAGCGCGTCGACTCTTCAGAGGTGAACATGAGCACTTCAATTGGTCTGTGGCGAGGGAATCCGGCCCTACACACCAACACCCAACCCCTCCGTACCGCACCACACCCCAACACCCCACCTGCCCAGGCAGCCTATGCCAAAGCGCGTCGACTCTTCAGAGGTGAACATGAGCACTTCAATTGGTCTGTGGCGAGGGAATCCGGCCCTACACACCAACACCCAACCCCTCCGTACCGCACCACACCCCAACACCCCACCTGCCCAGGCAGCCTATGCCAAAGCGCGTCGACTCTTCAGAGGTGAACATGAGCACTTCAATTGGTCTGTGGCGAGGGAATCCGGCCCTACACACCAACACCCAACCCCTCCGTACCGCACCACACCCCAACACCCCACCTGCCCAGGCAGCCTATGCCAAAGCGCGTGGGCTCTTCAGAGGTGAACATGAGCACTTCAATTGGTCTGTGGCGAGGGAATCCGGCCCTACACACCAACACCCAACCCCTCCGTACCGCACCACACCCCAACACCCCACCTGCCCAGGCAGCCTATGCCAAAGCGTGTGGGCTCTTCAGAGGTGAACATGAGCACTTCAATTGGTCTGTGGCGAGGGAATCCGGCCCTACACACCAACACCCAACCCCTCCGTACCGCACCACACCCCAACACCCCACCTGCCCAGGCAGCCTATGCCAAAGCGCGTGGGCTCTTCAGAGGTGAACATGAGCACTTCAATTGGTCTGTGGCGAGGGAATCCGGCCCTACACACCAACACCCAACCCCTCCGTACCGCACCACACCCCAACACCCCACCTGCCCAGGCAGCCTATGCCAAAGCGCGTCGACTCTTCAGAGGTGAACATGAGCACTTCAATTGGTCTGTGGCGAGGGAATCCGGCCCTACACACCAACACCCAACCCCTCCGTACCGCACCACACCCCAACACCCCACCTGCCCAGGCAGCCTATGCCAAAGCGCGTCGACTCTTCAGAGGTGAACATGAGCGCTTCAATTGGTCTGTGGCGAGGGAATCCGGCCCTACACACCAACACCCAACCCCTCCGTACCGCACCACACCCCAACACCCCACCTGCCCAGGCAGCCTATCCCAAAGCGCGTGGGCTCTTCAGAGGTGAACATGAGCACTTCAATTGGTCTGTGAGGGGAGAATCCCGCCCTGACGGTGACGGTTTGTTGAGGGCGGAAGGGAGTCGGAGGGGAGAAGGAGGGGAGAAGGAGGGGAGAAGGAGGGGAGAAGGAGGGGAGAAGGAGGGGAGAAGGAGGGGCACAAACAGAGTCGGTTCTTCAGAGGTGAACATGAGCGCTTCAATGGGGCGATGGGGGGAGAATCCGGCCCTGTAGGAAAGGGGAAAGGGGAAAGGGGAAAGGGGAAGGGTGGGGGGGGGGTTGGAAACGATCAGAGTGGGTTCTTCAGAGGAGAACATGAGCACTCCACTGGGGGGATGGGGGGAGAAACCGGCCCTACAGGAAACGGAAAGGGAAAGGGGGGAGTGTTTGAGAGTGGGGGGAGAAAGAGGGGGACAAACATGAGGTGATCATGAGCGCTTCAATGGGGCGATGGGGGGAGAACCTAGCCCTGCACAAGGGGGGGAGAGCGGCGGAAGGGGGATATGGGCAGATTGTGGGATTTTTTTTTAGACGTCTCAAATCAATTGGTCCATAAGGGGAGACCTTCGCCCTAGAAAGGCGGGGGTAAGGAGAAAGGGGATATGGAAGGGTGATGCGGAGAATTAGGGGGAACACAGAAGCAAGGGTGGGGATAAGGGGTGGAAAGCGGGGGGACGAGGCGGAACGGAAAGAACGGGGGGGGGGGGGGGAGGGGGGGGGAGGTGTGTGGGAGAAAGCAAGACCCAACCGTTGGATCGTAATGAAAGCAAGACCAACCGCTTCAGGGACTGCACTGCAGGAATCGCCCCCAGCACCCCCACCACGCACAGCACCCCCACCCCACCACGCCATCGTACTTCCCAAGCAGCCAAGAGAGAGAAAACACAACAGCGGGGAGGGAGGGGGCGTACACTTACGCAAGACCCACCGCTTCAGGGACTGGACTGCAGCAATTGCCCCCAGCACCCCCACCACGCCATCTTTCTTTTTAGCCAGCCATGATGAGACAGGAGAGAGGGGAGAGAGTAGGCATTCATGAACGTCGTACCCTTACAAGCAGGTCCATAAAAAGCAAGACCCACCGTTTCAACGCTTGCACTGCAGCGATCGCCCCCAGCACCCCCACCACCAAGGCGGGTCATACGTCCCATCACAGGCCAGAGGGAAACGAGGGGGGCAACGGGAGGGCAGAAAGCAAGACCCACCATTTCAGGGACTGGACTGCAATCGCCCCCACCACCCCCACCGCGCCATCGTATTTCCCGGCTCAGGGTAGGCGAGGGGACAGAGAAGAGAGAGGGGAAATAGCAAGGAAGACCCACCGCTTCAGGGACTGGACTGCAATCGCCCCCAGCACCCCCACCACACCACGCCATCGTACTTCCCAAGCAGCCACGGAGAGACACGAGAGAAGGGAGGGAGGAGGTGTAGCACGGCAAGCACGACCCACCGTTTTAATGCCTGCACCGCAGCAATCGCCCCCAGCACCCCCACCACGCCATCGTACTTCCCAGCCAATGGGATCGCGTCTGCGTGCGACCCTGTGACGATAGTTGGCAGCGACTCATTGGATCCCTCCCTGGATGTGCACAGAGGGGTGTTAAGCAGGAGATGTTAAGGAGGAGATAGACGATGAAGTCGGCTAAAAGGAGAAGAACGGGGAAATCACGGAGTGAGCTTTTAGAGGGGATGGCAGGCACGTGAGGAGAGGGGAACTAGATGCGCACACGTACCATCTGCCAAAGATTTTCAGACGTCTCAGTTAAGAGGTTTCGAGAAAAGAGGGAAGGAGATGTGCACACATACCATCTGCCAAAGATGTTGCCGATGGCGTCCTCTCTTATAGCCAGCCCCGCTTCCCTCATAAGCGATTTCACATAACTGTGCAACGCAAACACAGACACAGACAACACATTAATACAGCCACGTACACACACACATAGGTACATAAAAAGCTCAACGCGAGAAACACACACACACACATAGGTCAGAGCAACAACGAAGCTCAGTCAGTGTAGCAAGACTCAAAACACTCCACACACTCACTCTCTCGCCCTCACGTCGTTCTCCGTGAACAGTATCCGCGTGACAGCTGGCGGATCGTCATTGGAGAAGGTGGCGAGGTGGTCGATCTGAGGAGGGAGGGAGGGCGGGTACGAATAGGATGAGACGGATGGAAAAGGAGTTTTGAGGAGAGAAGGTGGCGAGGTGGTCGATCTGAGGTGGGAGAGGGGGCGGGTGCGATTGAGATGGGATGGAAGAATGAATTGAGAGGAATAGGGGACGGACCTTAGTGAATGAATTAAGATTTCAGGATGCCTGAAGACTTTAGTGGCGCCTCAAAGGGCTGGCAGTTCGCCTTTGGAGGGAGGGAGGGAGAAGCATGGAAGGAGCTACTGAGGGGCGGAGGGGCGGAAGGGGGGATGCGGGGGAGAAGAGTGGGGAGAGAGAAGGGGGGGAGAGGAGCGGGGAAGGGAGGGAGTGAAGGGAGGTGGGTGAGGGGGAAAGAGGGGATTCTAAACGCCAGCGTACCTACTCCTGATGCAGGTGCGCTGGGGGGAGAGTGGGTGGGGGGCGGCGGCGGTGAGGGAGTGGAGGGGATCTTAAAGCCCAGCGTACCAGCTCCTGAAGGCGGTCCACGTCAACAACAATCTCACTCGCACCAATCCCAGGCCCCGCTCCCGCCACGTATCGAAATTCCGGATCTGCTAGAATCTGCTCGAATCGCGGGCTCCTTTGAAGAGCAAATTTCCAGTTTCCCAGCTCGAAATTTCCCACTCCTGCCACGAAATTTTCCACTCCTGCCGCGAGATTTCCCACTCCGTTACGAAATACCCCCGCCGCTGCTGCCGCGGCAATTGCGGCGACAGCTGCGAGAACCGCCGCCGCTACAGCCGTTCCTGCCGCTGCTGCAGCCGGCTTAGCGGATTTGGAGCTCGAGTCGTCTGTAGCATCTGAGAGAGCCTTCGCAACGACGGGACGGTCAGAAGCTGCAAATATTTCCGAGTGAGCTTTCGCAGCTCTTTCCGAATTCCCGGAAAATGAACGGTCAGGGCTTGAAGTGGTAGCCATGGAGATTCGAAGTGCAAACGCGCTTTGCGCAGGCGAAGGGAGAATACTGGAAGTGCGGGTCAGAATTA